ATTCAAATAAAACTTCAAATAAAATCAGTCATACTTGGTTTTACCTGTCTTCATTGAAATAGAACTGCACATATTCTCTAAGTAATCTTATGGTTCATTGATGTCCCCAGTAAAATTAAGGCAGGTATCCCATGAACTTTTACTTACTTTTCCTGGAAATAATACAAAATCATGATTTTGTCTGGGTTCAACTGGGTTCAATTTCAAATCTAACAGTATAAAGCAAAGCTAAATGTTGCAAAATCAGGCATTTAAAGATGGAAAACCTCAGCACAAATTCCTGAAAAATGAAGCTTCCAAGTTTTCAACAGCTCTGTAATTTCAGAAATCAGTAGAACAACAAAATTAAGTCATACCTAGCACAGCCCAAATATATATCTTTGAAATATATGTGTTGATATTTTGGCCTAATGTAATTTCTACAGAGAATCTGGGATGAAGTTTTGTGTGACTGGCTGTATTTCTCCTGTACTGGTCAGCACAAAGCCAGGACTCTACTAAGGCATTACTGTTAGTAATGTTGTGATCAGTGGGTTACTACTTAAGGAAACTCTAGGATACCCTAACTAAACCTATATGTTTAGTAAAGTACTAAAGAAATGCTGTTGAATTTTCAGATTCCTTCTGTTATTTGTATGAGAATTCACTGTGCATTGCACACACAACTGTAAGGAGACAATTTTCAGAGGCTCTGACAGCTATTGAGGCTCAGTTGTTGAATGCTGGATGCTATTACGTCCCAGAGAAATCCTAAACCTTACAAAGCACAAGGAATGCCAAACTTGCTACACTTCAATTCTGGCAGATGCAAACTGAGACCCAGGGTGGTTTACCATGTAAGGTATTCTTACAAATAGTAGATGCTAAAATTGTAGTTCCTGAGGCAGCTGCTTTGTTCACAATTCAGTGTTTAATCCAGTTGTGAAAATGAAAGGGCAAAATTATTCAGCCATCCCTGTTTGCATCCCCAAATCCCATGTATCATACACAAATTTTGTCTGATCTATATCTTAGTGAAAGCAAGGGATCATGCCTGTTTGCATTCAGTCATGGAATGAGTAACTACCTTTTTGATAGCTGCATTTTGCTAAAAATTTATAACTTCTGGTGGCTTTATTTTATAATTAGATGCTCTAAAATTCATTTCATTAACACAGCAATATTGATGTTTAGCTCTGGGATTCCTACACCAGAAATACAAGCCTTGAAATACAAGCATTTGTGACAGAGACTTTTTTTATTTTAAACACTAGGGTTACAATTATTTATCACTATTTTTTTCTTTGTGTTCTTAACATTTAAGTAAATAACAAATTCAAATAAAACACATTTTTAAACACTTTAATGTCATGAACTAATCTTTCGTGCTGTTGCACAAAAACTCATCATCACATGCCTTTGGCAGTATAACATTTGTTTACAGGAGAAAGCTAAGTATTTTGGGGACACTTGCCCTTTTGGATATATGCTAGGAGCGGGAAATAAAAGACATGTAATGGGAATTTACATATCACAAGAAGAATTTAACTGGGTCCGCATGGCTGACAGGTGAAACTGTGAGAGTGGTGAGAATGTCTGACCCACACATCAAGTGGAGTTTAACTAATAATGTAGAAATAATAGACACTTACATTACATGACAGTTCTTCTGAGTGAATATCTTTGAGGATTACATAATTGCAGCTCAGCTTTACCCAGTGTTGTTGACCTGCAATAAAATTTCTTTTAGCTCTCATTATGTTAATTAGAAAATAATGCTTGAAATGGTGGGATAATGAGTAATCAGTTTATCAAATCCACAGTCAGACAGATTTTAACTTACATTAACATGCTCACAGTTCAGGTGATTCTATTCAAGTCCTAGTCAGAATGGTCTACTAAAAACACAGCTGCATGGGAGCCTGAATTTGGATTCAGTGCAATTGAGCCTCTGATTTAAGCATGCTATGACCTCCAGATTCTGATTCAAAATGAAAATTTATGAGTAATTTTTGTCACTTTGTTTTTTCAAGATGAAAAACAAAATAATAAAATATGAGCAAAATGGCAGAACAGGAAAAGGAAAAAAAAATATGAAAAAGCTGCTCTCAGTTTTGCTATGTGCTTGTTCTACCTTTGCAGCTTTGACTCTTGAAAAATCTAAGCAAATACTTAGGTTCATGAAAGAAAAAATACAATTCTTCTTCTGTGGAAAAGAAAAATGAAAACTGAGTATTTTACTTAAACTTAAATTTTATTTCATAATGCATCACTGAAAAGGTGAGAGCACACCTAATAGCCACATGTGTCACTGTATATTTCAAATAAATTTTGTGTGGGCTGATATATGACTGAAAATTTCTCTGCTTGGATTAAACAGCATTTTAGAAACTATTAAATCAGATTAAGATCTAATAACCAGTTCTCAAAACCTTGCAGAAGATGCTGTCTGTTGCAGTTTTTTTCCAATAATCCCAATAGCCCCTTTTTCACATAGAAACTGAATTTTTTTAGTTTTTATTTCCCATATTTTTTCCAATATGTTTAGAATTGTTTTAGCTTTCACCTACTGCATGTACTCTAGTCTAAATCCCCTGCAAAATAAACAAATTTGCTCTTTAGAGAGGAATATGGATGCAGAACATGTGAAATTAATTGGAGGGATGTCATGATTTATTCAGAAACTTAACATTTTAAATAAAAAGGTTATGTGTACGCATTAGATATTACCCCTACTTTGGGATTCCATAGATTGTTTTATTGAAAAAAGAAAAATGAAAACAAAAATCAGAGAATATTTGTTCTGCAGATATGGTGCTGCTTTTCTCACTGTGACATATTTTAAGTTAAACTTATTTTACATTATAGTTTTTCTTTTCTGCATAGCTTTAAAATTCTCAAATTGTAACATCATTAGTTGTTATAAAAACTCTTCTAAAATACATTCATGAGCTTCTTCGAAGTTCCATTATATGTGTTTTGTGTAGACAAAATGTATCTCAAAAGACCTCTTTAAAGTTGTATTGAGACATATTTCCTTAGTTCAATTAAAAAAAAGAAGGATTAAAGCAACTAAAAATAATTCAGTACATCAGAAAATGATCAAACACTAACAAAGATTCTAACTCAGTTTTGCTAACCTTATTAGGGAAAGAAAAGCCGCCTTAAAGATCTGTCAACTGCCAGCTTTTGCAGAGAGAGAAAACAAAGTCATGCTGCAGTAAAACCAAAACCAGAAATTGAACTCTTGGGTTCAGGATCGTAAATACTATCTGTGTGAGAACAGCACACAGCAAAAAGTTGCAGCAAATTTGCTTGTGCATCTGCCTGTTTGTAATACAGAACGAGTGTCCTGAGAAGCACAGCAAACTACGGCAATGTAGTACGAGTAAGGTTATCGGACAGGCAAGAGTGCAGTAGGGCTTCCCAATCACATCTTGTTTCAGTAGAAACTAAGCTCAAAGTTCCCTTGGGCTTCTCTTGGAAAAATGTTCTCAACGTCTTTGAGACAAGTTTTCATTTAAAAGTTAGTATTTATTTAGCAATTCAGTTCACACATGTATAATTGAAATATCACTATTGCTTAGATATTCTTGTGTATGTGACAGAGGATTAGGGGTGTTTTATGGAAATGGCTATGTATGTAACATCTCACACCACATATTTAGCAAAGCAAGCAGTGTTTATCTAAAATCTGTGGTTTAGTTTAATCCCCATTTCAAAAAGGAAAAAAATTACTAAAGACAGGAACAGAAAGACTTCTTGCTTCACTTATAGTTAGCAGATACATAGAACACTGTTACATCTGGAAACTTTCAAAAAATTGAGCGCTTGTCTGGATTTCTTTTTGCTTTCATTGTGTATGTTCTTTATGATAAAAGTACTTTTGGGGGCTGCAATGAAATCCATAATTTAATTTAATATTAAGTTCTTTACAAAAATATCTTCTACATGATTAATATATTAAAAAAAAAAAAAAACAGCAGTGTATTACAAGTCCATCATTCATTATGGATTGCTTATAACACCATTGTTACCTTGTTATAGGACTGATGCCTGTAACCATCAATAATATTTATCCTTTTTAAATACATGACACAGATATAAAATCTATTTATAAAATCATGCATCAACCTGTTATAAGCTGAACTTCTACTTACAGTGCTACCAAATTACATTTATAGTTTTGACCTCAATTAATTAGTTGCAAATTCTGAATGTAATTCCAAATGATACAGGGACTTATCGAGCACTGAGACTTGGCATGCAAGACAACTAAATACTCATGCCCTTGGTGTGTGAACATTTCAGTTTAATCAGTCTAGCCTGAATGGTTTCATTCTGCTAGCATACTCAAGTTGTGGGTTTAGAAAGAATTATACAGACCATTGTTTTCATAGCTTTTTAAAAAGAAAACCAAGTCTGGGATAATATAATTTCTCAAAAAATATATAGTCCAAACCTTTTGGCAGTCTGTTTCTCCCTTGTAAATAGCACAGTCATTTGCCTGTATCTCCCCCGGTTATAAGAAAACACTCTTTTGCCACTGGATGACTTTTTGTTAGCAGTCAATGATGTGATGCTGGAAATGATTTTGTAAAGAACACTCTGAGGTGGAAGGTGGTTTGGTTTTGTTCCACTTGGTTTATGGTTTCATTGGGTAACATTGTTTAAAAAGACAAGGAAAAAAAAAGAAGCAAATCAAAGCAAAAAAAAAACCTCCCTGGGACTGAAATACTTTGTATGTGTTGTTGTTTGCAGTGCATGCCAAGACATTCATGGGCACCAGAGCCAACCTGGCGAGCTAATTAAATAAATAAATGTATATGTTTAAAACAGCCTTATAAGGAGCATTGGAAATCTGCAAGATGAGCGAATATCTTATAACTTCTTCCGCAGGTGCGAGGATAGCTACAAGCCATGGACTTTCTGTCCTGCTTCTTGTTTGTGGCTTTGTGAAGGGTGCTTTGCTTTAATCTAAAAGTGCTGACTTTTTCCAATATCACTTTCTCTTCTTAAAGCAAAGAGCAAATCGCCTGTAAAATCCACGGAGCGGACAGCAAAGTTGACCCTAACCTCCAACCACCACTCTGCACCCAATGTACTCTAAATCTCTACACAAGGAGCACCTTCTTCAGGAAGTACAAACAAAATTACTAAATAAATAAAATAAAATAAAATAAATATTATAAAAAAGAAGAGGATACCACATGTTTTCTTGATATATCTTATTTTCTTTGGCTTATCACTGATATTTTCTTTGAAGAGAACTGTGTGATGTAATCAAACGTTTTGTAACAGCAAGACCTAGTTTCCTTTTCTTTCGGCAAGGAGAAGCCTCATCCTTGACTTCTCAGGGGTTGGCCTGCGAGTCCTCAGTATTACAGAATTAACCATGGATGACATTTGGTTTCCTACGCTGAAAGAACCGTTCCAGCCTGGAAGCAAAAAGAGGCCAAATAATGAAACAAACTATAGTGATTGAAAATAAATAGAGTACACACAAACTTTATCAAAAAGTCTTTTTTTCCTTTTCTTTTTTTTCTTTTTTTTTTTTTTTTTTGCATGAGGAGTAGGAATATTCTACTAAGCAGCTCAGCAGATGAGGGGATGTTGTTTCTGAAAAACCTATGAGGATATTTTTCTTTTGAGTTTTTTTTTCTTTTTGCTTTCCAGTATGTTATTCTTTCCCCCCTTTGAGGTTTTTTTCCTGTCTTTCTGTTTGTTTCTTGTTCAGTGATGGCAAGTACCAACTTAGGCCAACCCCTGATGACTATGTGGAGGTTTATATATATACATCCCTTTTTTTGTGTGTGTGCGTTCTATATTTCAGTGTGTTTTCTCTAATTTTGCAACTCCTGTATATGCAAAACCAACTTAAATTCTGTAAATTGCTTACAGTCTGTGTGATATAACTTCAGAGTAGACATACTTTGGTCCTCATGCAAGCCAGTTTTTAATATTATCTATATGTCGTGCCACCAAGAAACATCTTTATTTCCTTTTTTGACAAAACACCGCTTTTTAGTTTTTAATTCAGTAATGTGTGGATTTTGTAATGCATATCTTCACTTTGACTGGTTTGACCCCCTTCAGCCCTCTGTTTACTCTGTAAATGCACATTAAAATTTGTTACGGTCTCTAGACAATGAATTATTTTAGTTTGTATGTTGTGTTGAAGTTCAGATACTGAAAGCTCTTTGAACTTGTGATGTTTATAGAAGATGAAGTGATTCAATCACTAGAGACTGTAAAATGCAGGTTTGCAGTCAAATACTGCACATAAAGGAAGGTTAGAAACAGAAAACAGACAAATAAACTAGAACATGTCTTTAAGGATGTTCCTTTGGTAAAGAGTTTTAGGAAAGTGAATTTCTTACACTGAAAATATATTTGCATCACAGCTCCTTCTACATGGCCAAAGAAGTGTCTTTCTTTGCTTTTTCTGAAAGTGGATTGTCATTACTCATTGATATTCTTGATTAAAATACTTTTTGTCTGTGAACTGAATGTGAGAATTTTGCTGTTGAATGATGTAATATGTGTTACATGAATTACATTCATTAATGCAGGAAGCAAAAATTGCTACCATTTGCAGCTGCAATCAGGAAGGTTTTTTGCTTTTTCCCGTCTTTCCACTGATGCTGAAAAATTCACACCCTTTCATTTATCAGCACAGACAATCACATACACCACATGCTTATTATGATCTATTTATAGCAGCATTAAGTAGCTGCAGTGTGGTCAGCTGTGTGATTTCTCCTCACTTTGTAAGTACTGGAGAAGAAATTTTAAAAGTATGTTTATAACCTCACCAGTCTGTGGTCTACAGGCCTAACATTTTATTTCAAAATGCTTGTAAGTCCGATGTCTTTCCCCATTACTTTCAAAGGATGAAGAACAAATAAAGGCATAGAATCAATATTTTGTTAACCCAGTGCTTCAGAAAAGGGTAACATATTTGTGCAGATCTAATTTTCCATAAATTCTGTAGTATAAGCTTGACTGGGGGTAGTCAGTCTTCAGTTTTAGACAAGTCTTAGCAGTAATGAAGAGAGCAGAAGTTCAGCATAATACAAAAAAATAAGGTGTAACCATCAGTAGAAATAAAATTGCTTTTATTTCAACGTAAAATTTATGACCCACTTAAAATGTTGTATATTTAGAAAGTTTTTCTCCATAGTTATAACAGTTTATTAGGCTACTGACAAAGAAATTAAAAACTGTCCTCATTAAAATGTTCCAAAGCAAAGCCAATATTGTGGATCAGAGGGGACACAAAGAGGAAAGAAAAAGTCAAGGGTCAGAGCTTTTTAAAAGTCTTTCTTTCTGAACACACCTGTGGAACCAAACTTTGAAGGTTCTGGAGAAAAATCTCCATTTTCTTTCTGAAATGGATATCTGTGACTGGATTATGCGAGAATCTCTTGCTTGGAGCTTGGAAACTTCAGTTTCCATTGGTCTTCACTGGAATCAAATGCTTAATGTCACATCACTGTATTGCTTACTGTATCCATATATCTTGTATGAATATTCCATGTATGCACATAGAGAGTACCCATCATGGCATATGAAATTTGACAGCACAGTTTAGCCTCACATTGCTTAAGTTGTTACTATGTTAAACTGCTACTGTGTTTTGCTTTATGCTGTTAGCTGCTTGGATATAAATCACCATGTACTAGGAATTCAGATTAAAGAACGAGCTGAAATTAAAAGCAGAATTCTAGATCACTTGGATTAGTGTGATGCAAGCCCAAAGACAATGCCATGTTGGGATCTGCTATTGTACAACTGTGTCAGCAAAAAAAAATGGGCAAAAGAAATCTGTAGGACTTTTGAAAAGCCTTTATGATTTCATGAGATGCTAATAGGACACAGAAATTGTCCTGCTTTCCCTCTTGAAACAACCAAATTCTTGAAATACCCAAATTCTTTAGATGAGGCTGATTGAGCCCTTCTGGTTGCAGATCTAGAGCACAGCTTTAGTTTTGGCTGATCTGTGTGGATGCAGCAGCAACAAGAGCAGGTATTATATTTTGAAATTTTAAACTGTGTCTTAACAGCTATTCTTCAAATTAAAAATCCACCTGGATCTCCTAGAATTTCTCAAAATGGAAGTTAAGATACAGTAGACACCCTTGTTTCTAAGAATTCTGTTATGAATAATATTTGGCATAGGAATGAAACTACTACCATTTTCTGCCAGGTGCAGTTCTTGTTTGGACTTAACACAAATAGATTTTAAAAAAGGAGCTTAATTAAATCCTGAAAAGCTCCTTGTTGAGTGAGGGATCTAGAAAAGCAATTTGTATCTAGCAGTCGTAGCATCTCTAAACACAATGTCCTTATCCCTTTTAGAAAATGAGCCCAGTTTTGAGGTGGTCTTTTATATGACTCATGCTTCTCAATTTGTATCCTCAAAGCCTCGTTGCATATGGTGACATTCTTCAGGTCTTTCCAACAGGTTTTGCTTTTCATAGAAGAATAAACATGGGTGAGTATGAAATGCTTTTGTATTCAAGGTATATGCCACCTACACTCACACACTTTGAGATCTGATGTATCATCAGGCTGAAAGAAACATGTTCCAGCCCCATGAGGTGTCAATGACAGCCTTTGTATTACATGGAAAAAGTATCCATGGCATTTTGGTACTGCTACCAGGGATTAGTACTGCAACAGAGCCTGTCTCAAAAATTCTCCTTTCCAATGGTTACTGATTATTCTTTTAAGCTCTAGAACCTCATGCATAGAAGTTGCTGCATAAAATATTTGAATCTCTCTTTCTTAATTGTATTTGGTAAACTTTGCAAAGAAATTTGTGGAGCATGAGAAAAGTCAGACCATGGATTTAAAAAATCTTAGCAGACTAATTTAAGATTGACAGTTCCTCAGAACTTCTATTAAGAAAGGTACTAGAAAATTTGAATGGTAAACACGGAATCTATCAAAAGTAATTGTTATTTCTTTTTCATTCTCAATATTAAATATTTACATTTCAGCACTACCTGAAGGCAAAGATCAGAAGTAGGTATAAACATGAGACACCATGGCAAAAATGATAGGACTCTTTGGAAGTTCATACTTTTTCATCTAATTCAGTGCTACTCTGATTCAAGACCAGAACACATGCTAAAACCAGATTTTTTCACATTCATTCTTTGAAGTACTTTCCTTCATTCAAATAAAGTGAGGAAACATTGGCCAGTGCAAGAAATCTGAATGCTTGCCTGATATTTTTTAACTTCTAATGATCTTTCATTTCTAATGATCTTAATGTCTAATGATCCTAAGTGATGTCGTCATTTAAACTGCCATTAAAAACCCAACAATATCCCCCTCCCCCCAAAAAACCAACACAGCTAACAAGCTTAAATTCCTTCCTAAAAAAAAAAAAAAATTCAAACCTTTATCATTTGCAGGATATGGGAACATTTTCCCACGACATTACTGTTGGTAAATGTCAAACGTTGTTTATAGAGCTAAAAGCATTAGGAACCAAGATTGGGATCATCATACTTTGTAATATAAATTTTTAAAGGTTAATCTTACATGATTAGCTCAGCTAAACAATGCTAAGCACACAGTAAATTGAATTAATGCAACTCACTATAAATGCCTTCAATCTTCAATCTACCAAACAAAAGATTGAAGGCATTTATAGTGAGTTGCATTAATTCCTAAATATTGATATATTTCATTTCACAGTCATAAAGTTTGCACATACATTGACATAGCTGAAAGATTTTACATAGTTTTTCTACTGTTTTTCATGCAAAGAAATGTATGAAGTAAGTTAAAGTTGTCTGTAACAATGAATTACAATCAACTGGAGAAGATACTTGCAAAGAAACAAATGTGTGCTTGCTTGAGAATCAAGTTTAATTGCAATTCATTACTTAAATTCTCCTTTTTGTGCTATTTTTTTTTTTTGCCAACATTTCAATCAACTTCTAAAACAATGCTATATATCTTATTTCTTCTTACAAGGTGACAGGACAAAATAATGTCACTTCGTTACGAAAAATCTAGGAGGAAAAACAAATTTTTGCATTCAACAGCATTTTAAACTCTCACTGTTTACAGTGTCCTATCACCTCAAAATATCTTGAGATATATTAATATATATATAGAGAGAGAAAGAGAGATAGATAGATATAGATAGATATAGATATAGATGATATATATAATTTGATTTCTAACTCTATCATGCTGATAGTTGAGATGGCCTTCAGGTGGGAGCAAATGAATTTTTCAATTATCGAAATGCTCCTTTACATTGATGTTACTGCACAGAAAGAGGTCTTATGTGTATGTGAGACTATTTACTGAGTGACAGCTCATAAGGAGGCCAAAACATACAAAATAGATTATTAATTCCTTTCTTGTTTTTATATGCCATGAACTTGAAAAACAAGAGAGAAGATTGCATCTGAAAACTAGCTGCCTAAAATAAACTATTTCATTCAAGTCTTTGAAGAAACAAATTCCTTATTAAAATGACTTGTATAACTATAACCTTTTGAACTATATGGGGCTTAGATTTTTAAGAAAAGTTATATATTATATATAATATCTTTGTATATAAAATTGGGAAGGAAGGAGATAATAACTTCTTTTGCTGCTTCTGATAGAAGATTATGTTTATTGCTGCTGATTGTCTTCAATACCAAATGATTTAAAGGACCCTTTAAATTACTGGCAACCATACTTTGGAAAAAAAAGATTCCAATTTTTCTGATTATCTACAATACACTTTAGTTTCTGCATATTAACCAGCACTTGTTCAGGTTTTAAAAATGTTGTTTTTTCATCCTAATAGAAAAGAAGTAATCCATAATTTATTAAAAATAAATGTCAACATGTTTATGAAACCACCTTAATGTCTTTTTCTTTGGTGATTCATGCACAAGATATGTTTTGTTCATATATTTAATCTGCTCAATGGGGCTAAGCACTGAAAAAAAGACAGAAGAAAGTTGTTCCTAGTTGTTCCACCTCCAAATTGAAATGCTGTGCAAGAGGGAAAACTGAGGTATGACTCTTTCTGTTTCCCTACCACAGCCAACAACAAAGAACCTTCACAGGGTCTAACAAAACAAATCACTGCTATAAAAAATAACAGTTTTAGTTCACCTTTTAACAACATGAAAAACAATCAAATTGAGTGCAATTTCTTCAGCAAAATGCAAAGCATTTTCTTCCAAAATTATTACTCTCCCCACTGACATGAAAGAAGGTTTTGCAGCTAGGGCTTTGAACAGGCAAAGTATTTGTCCACCTCTTGCAACTGCACAATGGCAACCCCAGAGAGACTCAGCTGTCTCCCTTTCACCATCTCTGTCCTACATATTATTATTAATCATGAGGGTACTCAGAAGATGAATATATATTGCAGAATAATAACTTTCTATGCTTACACCTTTTTTAAACTGTTTTAACAGAAAAATCTTTTTGTCTCAGTTAACTTTATTTTTAAAAAGCAAGGCAATGTTTATATAATTCAT